ACTGGAAAATGCATTTATTGACTTTATCAATTCTAAAAATTCTGAATTCTACTCAGACGGAATTAATAAGTTACCAACACGTTGGGAGAAATGTATTGAGAGTATGGGAAATTATTTTGATTAAAGAACATTGCTTTAAAGTAACTAGTTTCTTTTTTTTTGTTTAATACCAAAATCCTGCATTATTTTCCGGACAACCCAATAGTTTATGAATAAACAGACCCGTTCTCCATGACCATCCTTTGGCCAAGGAATTTCGATTTTACGTCAACTTATTTGTACCAACTTGACTGGTATTGTAATTATGTTGTTGGCCGACCGGTGGATGTGCGTCATACCAAGCTAATTCCACATTATTTTTAGATGTAATTCAGACCAGAACAAAACGGGTAGGAAATTAGTTTGTTTATCCGACTCGTCGATTTTTTTTAAATATCAAAAATCGTACTAATATACTCCAGGTAGGCAAGAATCTCAATTAGGAGGGAGTTTGCACACGTTAATTGGTGCAAAGAAGGCTCTAACTATGTAGTCCCACCGTTCATTATTTGGTCTTACTCGGCAGTAGGCACCAAGGCTACACAACAAATTAGGAAATAAAGAACAAAAAAAAACACAATTTGTAATTCTTCCGGAAAATATTAATTCCAAAAGGCCTTGTACATAAAACAAAATGATTGTCGTTGATGCTTAATTTAATCAGAGGATAGAATTAAACTTTAAAAATACCGGCAGTTAGGGAATGTTCTTATGAAATGAACAACCTAAATTTAATTTTATCTGAACAGTACGATTAATCTATCCAAAAAAAAGCAACAGTGCGCATTAGTATTATTTAAAATGCAACATTTCGCACAACCCATCCTGTAGAAACTACCTTTAATACCAATATCAAAACCAAACAAGTTCCCCTTATGGCACAATAAGCTTCCTTTTTATTTTATCCAAAAATCTTTGAACGTAATTATTGAAGCAATCGACGGAGTGAGTATCCTCTCTCCTTTACAACTTAAAATCCTCCCTCACAACTACTACCTCATCCTGAAATCCTTCTTTCTCGATGGTTTAAAAGTGATATTCGGTTTTTCACCATCATACCAATCCAGCGGGCGTTCCACAAGGTTATCATAGGTCCTCTCCTCTACACCAGGGCTTCCCTTTTTTTGTGGACACCTTTCACAGAACAAAATCGGCGGACTCCTCGCATTCAAGTATTTAAAATTAGATACTTATAGTATATGTAGTAAACAAAACTTTTATAAATTAGTCCATCCCTAATTAGGTGATGGTGAGGGATGTCTCTATGAAATGAAACATTAGATTGATATACTTAACTTTATTTACAAAATCCGGAGCACAAAAATCCAATTGGTCAGAACGGAATCTCTAGGTAGATAAAATTCGAGCCAAATTCAAATATAACAATTTATACATTAATGATTAATGAATTAATGGGAAGAGTGAGGTTGTTTTTAGCCTACACGATTTGGATATGTTGAGTTAAATTTTTGATAGCTGGAGCTGGATATCTAGTTCACCATCTAGACAGCTTCGGTATTTAGTTTTGTTGGCTGTACAAATACAAAATCCGGAATAGTTGTGGCAAATCGAAGAACACGTTTTGCTTTTTCAACGATCGGTAAGTTTTTGTTTTCCAGTCGGAGTAAATGGGGGTATCGGACTCAAAAGTAGATTTCAAGGTTTAGTCTGAAGTAACGTCTATCGAATTCGTATTCGCTTGACTTTGTCGACATTGAAAACGGTTTGACCACCCATTCATGGTCTTGCAGGATTGTATCTCGAGCTGTTGGGCGCTAGTGCTCAAAGGGCAACTTCAAACTTCGAAGATGTCCACATATTTCATCGATCAACTTGTCGTTCGAAAGCTCTAGTTTTTCTTTTAAAAAAAATTCATTTAACACTGGAAAACACTCCACCTCTTCCTTTTCAACAGGTTCAACCCAAAATTGGATTTTCTTTTGAAGGCGTGAACTTTGTCATTAGCATCGCAAGTTGTGATACTCTTCTCTTGCAAAGAAAAACTCATCTCATTCATTTTAAAGAAAATATCTGATAAATACTACAATACATATTGCCATCAATAGAATAAGACTTCAGAACGTAATTCCTGTAATCGTTAAAGTGCTTTCGGACAAGATAGCCACCTAACTTCTGTATGAACCTAGGTATGATAAATCCTTCCTAACTCGACACGCATTGTGAAAAGTTTTGATTTCAATGGGTGGGACTTGATATAATTAATAATTTGAACAGACTCATCCAATTTTTTTTATAAAGAGGCTGGTATTTGTTTCATAGGTAAAGCATGTCTGCGGAGAACCCAATGACTGCTGACGCAAAATCAAAACATTGGATGTCAGAACTCATTAGTTTTTAAATTTTATTCATTCTCTGTTTATTTTTGTAACTTTTACTAGTTCTCGACGTCACCCCAGTTAGGGCTTAGACCACAGTTTGGGAAGACCCGCTCTATACCATCTACCCTGCTGACATACCTTCACATCCAAACGCGGACGACACCACAGTCTTATCAACACTCTCCAATCCAATCCTTGCCACAAAAGCAATCAAACATCTCAACCTCATTACCGACTGGTGCACTCGGTGGCGGATCAGGTTAAACGAGCAAAACAGCCAAGTAACTTTGCACCAGTGTACACAAACAAGGTAATACCAAGTTCGTCTCTGTGGGCTTTATTTAGATAGCAGACTCACGTCCGCACATACAAATTTAAAGCTACAAGAACTTAACAAAAGATATGGATTACTCAGACACCTACTAGGGCCAAAATCAACACGAAGCAATAACAAACTAACAAACTATGTCCAAACCACCGAACATCCAATGAATTCAATCCTTTCAATCTAAAGCCCTCCGCCGTATCTTCTACGCCACCAATCAAATGAACCATAAAGACCTTAAAATCCCATTGAAGAATCTGAACCGAACACGCTTCCTCATTTACCACTCCAAACCATTCCTCGACTCCAACCCACCAGCCCAAACTCTTCCTCAAGGCCCCATACTTACAACCCTCCACGTAGTTTAAAACAAGGAAGGACCTTGTTACGAATCTTATCCCTCTAGTTCCAGCCCTGCCTGATTTCTCTCCCCTCTGCCTCTTTGTCGGACAGGCCTGTCAGATTTCTATGCAACTATACATTTTACTCAATGTATATGATACAGATAGCAATAAATAAAAAAAATTAAAGCCAAAAATTTGCAGCATTACTGACACGAATTTAAATTTATATTCTATAGGTAATATACTGATCATTGTTTTATTCATCTAATCTAATATCTGCGATATACCAGCACCAGTCTTATTAAGTGTTAAAAAAGCCCAAACTTTCTTGGGAACGTTCTCTTATGTCATGTACCTTATGTAACTCCAAACGTTAGGCGGAAGAGAAAAAACAAACCGGAAAAACGTATTAATTGATTACAATCATCATGCATATCTTTTCTCTCAACGATTTCTATATAAATGTTTCTCTTAGAAACAAAATAATAATAATAACGATCTATTTCAGTACTGCTTGATTACACTTGGAAACTTTCACTCATCTCTACGAATTTACTGTTGAAAAATAAGTTGTTAACGGTGGTTAAAGTCCCGTTCTCACACGGAATCTTCCAAAGTCGATTAAGCTTAATTATTAATAATAATAACACATTAGCAATAACACATGTTCATTATTGCTCAAACAATATTTGCCAATACGTAAAAAGCATTTGCTTAGCAAGCAAAATATATTTCATTGTCTGTGTGGTAGGACGAGTCATACATATTAT